CATCTGTAGTAAAAATATTTTTAGTTTAAAAATGTGATAATTTTTAGTCAAATATTTTGTTGTACATTTTTCAAAATAATTCCGACCGACAAAATTTGAAAAATTCCTGTTCAAAAGCTATTCATCCAATCTTGATGAAACTTGGATTCTGGTGCCTAAGGATGTCAACTTAAATTATGAAACTAATTTCATAATTTTAGCTACACTAGAAGTTGCTCAAGACACTTCATTATCATTTAATCCAATAGAAATCACTGACAACTGTCACTATTTTATAAAAAAAATAATTATCAATTGTATTTATGATCAATGAATGCAATGAAACAATTAAACTAATTATTGGTTTCAATTAGTGGTTTGGAAATCTGGTGACAACCAATTGGTGGGACGACTTGTGGCTAAACGAAGGCTTCGCTACTTATATGTCATACAAAGCTGTAGGAAAAGTGGAAAAGGAGTGGAAATATGTGAGACAAACATTAATAGCATTTGATTTTCTTAAATACAATTTTAATCATAATTAAAAACTTAATTTTATTTCTTACTAAAGGACGAGATATTCGCTTTGGATGAGTTGAGCCGTGTGTTTGAGGCCGACTCCACACCAAACACACATCCAATCGTGGGTTCCGTACAGAATGCCGACGATATCTCATCGGTCTTCGATGCCATCACTTATGGGAAGGTTTGTATTAAACCTTTTTGTGTTTCCATTGAAACTAATGCTCAAATAAATGCCGTTTTGATGTCGTGAAGGGAGCAGCTATTCTTCGGATGTTGGAAACGGCTTTAGGCGACGATTTCCGGATTGGGATTAAGAATTATCTCATTAAACATTCGTATGAAAACACATTGACGGAAGACCTCTGGACACAACTCACTCAAGACAGTCAACAAGTAATTTAATTATTTTTTATGAAACCTTTAAAAATTATTTTTGTTTACTTTAATAGAGACTAAATGTGTCGGAAATAATGGAAACTTGGGTCACAAGAAAGGGGTTCCCAGTGGTGACAGTTACCCGAAGTGACACAAATCCCAATCAGATTACGCTTAAACAAGAATTGTTTCTCAAAGATTATACCAAATCAAACACAAGGTATGGATAGTTGTATTTATTTGGCAATAAAACTAATTAAAACTTATGTTTCATAGCTATGTGTGGAAAATCCCGATTACATACTCAGCCCCGGGAGCGGCCAATAGCTTCGTATACACCGAATGGTTGGACGAAAGCGAGAAGACAATTGACTTGAAGACAACCTCTGATTTAATCAACATAAATGTGGGCCAAACGGGTCTCTATATTGTCAACTATGCCGTCAACGACTGGAAAGAGTGGACCAAAGAGTTGCTGAACGAGAAGAATAGGCAACGATTATCACCATTGGATCGCTCGGAACTGATCAACGATGCCTTCTATTTGGCTAGAAGTGGACGACTTGACTACGATATAGCACTCGATTTGTCGAAATATCTGAAGGCCGAGGACTCATTGATCCCGTGGACCACCGCTCAGTCAATGTTTGGATTCCTGAAGAATCTGATCAATTCGGACGCAGAGATCGCTCTGAATCACTACATAAGTGGTCTAATCGGCGATCAATACACGAAACTGGGTTGGAATGAAGTGACCACAGAGTCCGGTCAAACCAAACGCTTGCGGACAGTGGTGTTGGATATGGCGTGCGGTTATCAGATGCCAGAGTGCGTACAGACAGCGGTTCAGAAGTTTAATGAGTGGAAAACCAGTCCAACCATTGCTCCCAATCTGTTGTCTCTGGTGTTGAAGTACGGCATCCGATACGGCGGCGACACTGAATTCAAGCACCTGATGGACGAATACCAAAAGCCCGGTCTATCGGCGCAGAAAAAGCTGCTTTATTTACAGGGATTGACGTCCACTGGAAATACGGATCAAATCACAGCGTATGTCAAACTTATTGATTGTATTTTTACGTAATTTTAAATCTTAATATGAAATTTGATTTGATTTCTAGACTTTTAGCCAAAGCGGAAGACGAGAGCTTTTTAAGGAAACACGACTTTTTCCAATTCTTGACTAATCTGGCCGTCAATAGTCTGGTCGGAAGGGATATGGTTTGGGACTACTATAGGAATAATTATAACAAAATTGTTGATAGGTTAGAATTAATTAAATTTTTAATTTAAATCACGATATATAATTAACGCAAAATTTTACATAGATTTACAATCAATAACTCTGGACTCGGAAGGATTGTATACACTTTAAGCACTTTATTTACTAGTGATGTTCAAAAGGCACAGGTATTCAATACATGCAGAAGTTAACAGACAATAGTTTGTGTATTAATCAATATAATTAATGTGTTTATAAAGGTATTAGACTTTTTCAAGCAATACCCGAACGCCGGCGCCGGCAAACTGGACAGAGAGAAAGCCGTCGAAGTGTTGGACACAAACATTAATTGGATTAAGAATAACAAGAATAAAGTGATCGAATGGATCACAACTCAATGCCCAGCGATTACCTGCCCGTGGATTACGTACCGTCTCGACCGACAAGTGATACCTCTTCAGTATTATCTGACATTACAAGTGAATACAGTTTCAAATGAGTTCAGCGGAAACGTCGAGATCGAAGTGAAGACCGAGAAAGACGTCGAATACTTTATCGTTCATTCGGCAGACATTCTGACCATTAAGAAGACCCGAGTGTTGCTGAAGGGCTCGGAGACAGATCTGGCCATTAAACAGACCTTTCACTACTCGCCCCTTCAGTTCTTTGTCATCCGAATGGATACTAAGACAACGGCCAACACGTATCGACTGATCTTCGAGTACGAGTCAAACCTACTTCTCGGCGGTCTCTCCGGTCTCTATAAGAGCAGCTATGAATTGGACGGCAAGACCATAGGTTTGGCCGCCTCTCAGTTCCAATCGATATCTGCCCGAAAAGCGTTCCCCTCTTTCGATGAGCCGTCGTTTAGATCTGAGTTTGATTTGACAGTAATCCACGACTCGGGCAACACTCTGACCATTACTAATATGCCAATCACTGGCCAACAAGTGGACGCACCCACCAAAGGCTGGACTACCACCAAATATCAGCGCTCAAAACCGATGGTCACTTATTTGGTGGCCATTATGGTCAGCGATTTTGTGTGCCGTACGGACAACAGTCACGACTTGGGTTACGTGATACGGGTGTGCGCCTCACCCGCCAAACAACACAAACTACAGTACGCTCTGGACGTGACGCCCAAAGTGTTTGACGAGTTTGAAAAGTACCTGGACTTCAAATACCAACTGCCAAAGTCTGATTTGGTGGCCATTCCCGACTTCAGCGCCGGTGCGATGGAGAACTGGGGTCTCGTCAAGTTCAGAGAGACCGCTCTCCTCTGGACCGCCGACGAGGACAACAGCGCGTCCAAAATGAGCGTCGCGTCAATCATAGCCCACGAGTTGGCGCATATGGTTAGCTACACATGTCGTTTACATTAAATGCATTTTGCTATCAATTTATTACAATATGAATTATTTGATGCTCTTTGCGAACAAAATTCTGTTGAAATGCATTTGCATTGTATTAAAATGTATTACTCTTTTCAGTGGTTTGGAAATATGCTGACGTGTGAATTCTGGGGCGACCTATGGTTGAACGAGGGCTTTGCCTCGTATATGGAATATCCGGCCACTGCTATGGTTGAGAAAACATGGGATTACGTGAGTATTGTATTGAATCTATACTTTTACATAATCTTAACACTTTTGGCTTTTTTGAAATCACTCTAAAATATAGTGGGATTTGTTTGTATATTACGATCTGTCGAGCGCTGTGTCCGCCGATTCATCGCCGACTTCGCAGCCCATTGTCCGCATCCTTAATAAGCCGTCGGATATGTCTTATTCGAGTGCCATTGTCTACAACAAGGTTTGCCTTTTATTCAATCGCCCGATGATTAGTATTTATTTGTATTAATTGTTAATTATGTTTATATTTAAACTGTGAATCAATTAAAGGGATCGACAGTAATCCGAATGATGGAGAGAGCGATGGGTCCCCAGAAGTTTCAAACAGGAATACAAAAATACCTTAAAGCAAATCAATACACAACTGTTATAACTCAAAAACTGTGGGATTCATTGCAAGAAGAGTTTCCTACCGTACGAAACCTTAAATAACTTAATTTATCATTAATTAATTATTTTATTTATTTGTTTAGGATTTAGGGACAACTATAAAGGATTTGATGCACAACTGGGTAACAGAGGCTGGCTTTCCATACATTAACATAACGAGAGACGAAACCGATGCAAACAAAATCACTATAATTCAGGAGAGGTTTCTCGCAAACGGACAAAAACCCGATAAAGAGTACGTTTAATAGACGACATGATTTATTAACTTGATTTATCTAACTATGACTACATTTGTTAGCACTGTTTGGTCAATCCCTCTATCATACTATCACGACGAGGGTTACGATCAAAATACGCTAACAATAGTGAAAACAAAGATCCAGACAATCGATTTGGTCAACATTGACCCCAAACTGAACGGTTTGATTAAGTTTAACACCGATTACAGTGGTATGTATTTTGTGAACTATCCGCTCGACGATTGGGACAAATGGAGTAAAGCGTTGGTCAACAACGAGAACGACATTGTGAACAAACTATCGGTGAGCGATAGGGCCGAGTTCATCATGGACGCTTTCTACCTGGCCAAAGCCAATAAATTGCCCCTGGTCAAAGCGCTAGACATATCGAAATACCTGGTGCACGAGCCGCACTTCACACCATGGTCAATGTACCGCAGTATGTTTGACCAGGACACCAGAGACAGGCTGGCAATGAGCCAATACAGGGACAGTTTGAACCGGTTTTTGAGTTTTCTGACCGAAAAGCAGTACAAGAGGTTGGGCTGGAACGACGGTTCGGGAGACGACTCGACCAAACGCTTGAGAGCTGTGATCGTGGAAATGAGTTGCGATAGCGGTTACCGTCAGTGTCTCGAAGACGCCTATAAGGAGTTCACGCAATGGAAGTCAGGCGCCGCCAAATTGTCGCCCAATTTGGGCGCTTTTGTCCTCTCATTCGGCTTAAGACAGAGCACTGATCCCAACGACTTTGAAGAGGTGTGGAAAAAGTACAAAGAGGCCAATAAAAATGATAATTTCAAACTTCGCTATTTGACCGCATTGTCAAAGTCTAAGAACTCGGAACAGTTGAAAGAGTATGTTATTTGTTTGGTTATATTGTTTAATGAATTATTTTTAATTTGTGTTAATTATTATTTGTTTGAACAGCATTTTGGTGAAAGCATTGGATGATAGAGTGGTTTCTGTGTCTCATTTCCAGACATTGGTATCAGAAATGGCCAAAACTCCGGAGGGTTTGCCAATTGCTTGGGATTTCTTCCAAAACAACTATCAAATGCTTACACGAAAACTGAGTGCAAATGATTTGAATAATGTCTTCAATAATATCATCAAATACTTTGGAGATGTAGTCAAACGAAGTGAAGTTAGTTTCTGTTAAAAGTTATAAATTGTATTACAATTTCAATCATAACAAACCTATTACTTAACCAATAGGTCGACACATTTCTCAGACGCTATCCAAACGTCGGCCTTTCAAACACGAACCGCGAGAACGGCTTAAATCGGATCCAACAGAATATGGACTGGATTTTTGAGAGGGGCGACGAATACGGCAAATGGTTGACCGCTAATGGGGTTTGTATTATATAAACCAACATTTAATTGTCTATTATTATGTGCAAAACTAATTGATATGCACTCTATTGTGACGACATATAGTGTGGTATAAACAAAGAGTGCCCGTGGAGTATATACCGACTCGACTTCACAGTAAAGCCAATCAAATACAAGCCCACTATTAGAGTGAATGTCACCACAAATGTGTACAACGGAAACGTCGACATTGAGGTGCAGACCACAAACCCCACCGAATACTTCATAGTCCACGCGTCGTCTATACTCAATGTCATCAAAAGTCAAGTGTTTGTCAAATCTGATAACAAAGAGATGCCTGTAGTCAACGCTTTTCATCACAAACCGCACGACTTTTGGGTCATTCAATTGGCGCAAGAAGTGGCCGCCGGAACCTATCGACTGGTCTACGAGTTTGAGGGCAATCTACTGTTGGGCGGACTGTCGGGTCTCTACCGAAGCAATTACGTGAACAGTGACGGCAAAACAGTGGGCTTAGCCTCCACTCAGTTTGAATTCACTGACGCCCGCAAAGCGTTTCCCTGTTTTGACGAACCGTCGTTTAAGTCAATATTTGAGGTGACATTAATACATGACGAGCACATGTCCACAACCCTATCCAATATGCCAGTGGCGAAGTCGACCACCGATCCGGAAACCCGATGGGTAACGACCCAATACAAGGAGACACCGGTTCCGATGGTCACGTATTTGGTGGCAA